AATTGTTTTCATGTTTCTCCATCAGTGAAATGACAAGTGGTCTCTCTTTGTAATGCAAATTTGTCAAGTGCCTCCACTGCCACCAGCCCCTGCTGCTTTGTAGAATTGGTTAAAATATTGTATATAAAGGGTGCTTACCTTCAGGTAATTGTGGGTGCGGAAAGCATGTAGTTTGAGAGGTGTTTGGAACACAGGAGGGTGAGCCTGAAGAAGATACTATGTTCATAAGACATGTCCATGTGATAGAGAGTTGTTGTCATGTGAGAAAAAGAGAAAAGGTTTTTGGTCACGATTACGGTGTGTTGTACAAACTGAGCTTCTGCACCACCACACACTCCCAATTCAAATGACTATACGAAAGCAATTTTCTGATATGCATTCAGCCTTAAACAACTACAAAGAAAGCATTGTATTTTCTGATTCTGGAAGTAGACTTCAAATGTTAAATTAATATACTAATTCATGCTTGAAACATCTCACGAGGTTTGTGTATTTATGAAGGTTTCACCTTGAGGTCTTGGTTGTCCAGGTTTAATTAACAGGTGTTCCATGAATGTTGTTAATACTAACAATAAAAAGGAATAGCAGGTGTCTGTGCAGTAAGAAACTGAATTAATTCATCTGGTGTAGAACCTTTGCTGTTGTACTGGTTGCACTTATTTCCAATTACTGAAGACATAGCCTGGTTTTTATATGTAAGTATTTCAGAAAAGTTGGAGGGACCTTACTTAGCTTGAATCAAATCGTGCTTAAAAGTTACCCAAGTAGATTAGTATGGTCTGTTTCCATTATGTTATCCAGAGGGACCTGGACAGGCTTGAGAAGTGAACCTCATGAGGTTCAACAAGGCCAAGTGTAAGGTCCTGCACCTGGGTCAGGGCAAACCCTGGTATCAGTACAGGCTGGGGGAATGAAGGGATTGAGAGCAGCCCTACCGAGAAGGACTTGGGGGTACTGGTGGATGAAAAGCTGGACATGACCCAGCAATGTGCGCTCGCAGCCCAGAAAGCCAGCCGCATGCTGGGCTGCATCAAGAGAAGTGTGGCCAGCCAGTCGAGGGAGGTGATTCTCCCCCTCTACTTTGCTCTGGTGAGACCCCTCCTGCAGTGCTGCGTTCAGCTCTGGGGCCCCCAGCATAAGGACGTGGACCTGCTCGAGTGGGTCCAGAGGAGAGCTACAAAAGTGATCAGGGTGCTCGAGCAACTCCCCTGTGAGGACAGGCTGAGAGAGTTGGGGTTGTTCACCCTAGAGAAGAGAAGGCCCCAGGGAGACCCAGTTGTGGCCTTCCATTACTTAATGGGGGCCTATAAGAAAGATGGGGGCAAACTGGATGTGCCCGTCATCTTCCTGAAAGACACTCCTTTGTCATAAATTTTAAACAATTATTTTATTATTTCACTTCATTTCTTTATGATAAAACTACTTTTAAAAAGTATCTGCAATTAGCTTTTATATGACAGTAGAGAACAATATGTGCAATACTTTGCAAGGAAAGGAAGATAGTACAAGTTTTTTTTCTCTTCGCTTTTATTGACTTTCTAAGTTTGAAATGGCTTTTCTTTCTTGTATAGGTCATTGATCTGTTACTGTTTGGGTTGCATACCCAGTGAAGTAAGGAAAAAACTTCATGCCTCTCCAGAAAAATGAAATCATCAAATTAATAAAACAAAAATGTAGTTTTAATTAAATTGACTGTATTCAAGTTGACATTGTTCCGGTAGACCATCCTTGCTTCCTCTTGGTGGCCATGTCCAAAAAAAGTAGTTCTGACAGTGTGGTGCATTTCCTTGCAGCAGACATAAATCTTTCCTCAGTTTTTTGTTGGTATTTTTATGCAAGAACCTTTCTTCCCAGGGCTTTCTCCCTAGAGCTACATGGATGCCTCATGAAGGCCTGTTTCTCATTGATTTGTTGGGTGGGATGTACTGGCATCACCACCTTGAGACTCTAGGAGCAGCTCTCTATAGCCACCCAAGGCTGTGCTGTTGGGTCATTTATTCTTTTTTTGAGTGTATTCCCTTCCCAGGGGATAACCCTTCATAATCTGTTTCATCATGTGTATTTTTTTAGGTCTCTTCTTGTCAAGGGACCTTAACTGAAGTAAATAAATCTGCAGTTGCAACCCACACCACTTGAATTTCTCTTTATTAGGTCCTCCCAGCTTTCGCAGCAAGTCACGACAGACCCAGCACTGCTGGGATGATTGATGGGAATGCCTCCAATAAGTTGCTACTAAGTGTGTGTTGACTGCATTACTGTAGAGCAGGCACTTGTGAGAGAGAAATTTGTGGGCTGGGGAGGGCTGAAGTAATGCGTAGGCTGAGGTGCTCATTTTGCAATGAGGGAAGGGTCCTTATTCCCTGCTGTTTTACAGACCCAAGGCCAAGCCCGGGCTGTACCTTCTGCTATGTATTTAACCATGACTTTTCCTTTTCTAATTCTTCCTGCTGCTTCTCATTATTGCAGTTGTCCTCTACAACAAAGATTTGTGTCTTGGATTCTGCCTCCTCCAGATAGCCGTGGGCTACTATATAAAACCTTCAGCAGGAGGAGGACTAGGGAAATACCGTTCTAGCTTCAGCCTTCAGATGCCACCTCAAATATGCTCCGAAATACTAATATCTCTTCTGTGCAGCTGGCTTGCTTGCTTTTCTCCACCAGTTTACCTGGCTGTGCGCCAGACGTGCACTGGAAGCTGCATCCAAGGTCATACTGCTTTGTGTCTGTGACCCGGAGCAAGAAAATGGCCACATTGGTTCCTGCGTGGGCCAGGAGTTGTGGAAGGTGGCTTCAGAGCATGGGCAGGAGTTTTGCTTGGGCCCCCACTATGGGTCCTGGATGCCTACCTAAAAGCAGCACCTGCTTTTTTTCCAGGGCTGACTGTTCATTTAGTAGTGACGATGGTGGCACACATACAGATCAGCTCATCTAGTGTTGTTTGGGTTTAGTGTGCTGATCTGTCATTCATTCATTTGTAGAAATATAAAATGGTTTTGAGTTTAAAAGTCTATGTCGTGATATGTAACACCACTTCCTTGTAAATTCTGAATGTAGGTTTTTTGTGTCAGTTCTGGAGTAGACATCTTGTGTCATTTAAATTTTGCTTCATAAGTAGTGCTTGGTAAGGTCAGCAGCTTTGCCTCCATGCTGATGTCTCCGTTTCTCAAAATAATTTCAGTAACTAAAAATTCAGAACTAACAAAAGGATTTTCCTCTTTCCTTTTTGTCCAGTGCAGTGTGTTGTCTGAGGGTGATTCGGGTGGAGTCCACTAACCGAAGATGTTTGCATGGACAGCAGTGACACCCATTGCTATTAGTGTGAACGTTTTGGCAGTGAATTCAGCTTTTGAGTGTTGTGGGCCAGTCTGAAACTATGAAGGGCCTGATGGGGGATGTGGAGTAGGTTCTCTCCTGCCTGCCTGCTGTATTATGCACCTTCTGTAAAGAGCCTAGATCTTGCCTTTTCTGGCTAGATGAACTGGATGGCTGTGTGGACACTTTTTTTTAGGTTGTTTTGTTATGTTTTTACGAGGAGAAATGTAGCTGGGCACTCACTGATCACACAGTGCGCGAGTGAAAACCTGGTGAACAAAACATAGAGCATCACCATCCCATTTATAAGCATTTTCTTTTCCTGCATACCTGTTATTCCTGTGTAAGATAGGTTTTGTGGTGGTGGTTTCAAAATTGAACTAAAACATCTTTATTTTAAGACAGGAATTCCAGATGGTTTTAGAGACTGGGCAAATCAGACCTTTTATACAAAGCGTCCCATTAAAGCTGAAATCCTTAGAAGATTTGATTTTATTCTTTGATGCTGAAATAAATTCAGTGATATAGGTAGTTTAAAATCTGACCTATACTCAGAGCTCAAAAACTCTTTAGCAATCCTTCATCATGGCCAGCAACTGTCCATAGCATCTCCCTGATCGCTGAGGGAGGGAGGACATCCAGGCTGATGGGGAGCTATCTGTTCTAACAGATGCAGAGCCTTCTGCAGAGTAGAGACAACAGGAATTGGCTTTTTGGATGTGTATGCCTCTGCTTAGCCTCCAAAGAAAGTAACCCTGAAATTACACTCAGCACAGTTGCGAATTAAAGCTCCATTATGATGTTAGTCACATGTTGCTGACGTGCCATGTGGACCATTTAAAAATTGGCAATGCTTGAAATAAATTGTTCTTGAAAATGTTTAATAAAACATGTATTTTAGAGTTTCCTCATTTGATGTGTTAACTCTTTGGATAGTCTAGACTAGAGGGGATACTTGGCAGCGCCGCTCTGAGTACTGTGCACTTTGAAAATAATTGCACAGTCAGTTTTCCCACCTTCTAGTGTCAGGTCTGTCTGTGTGAGGTTGCTTTCACTGTATGAAACTGTAACAGCACGTGAACCTGTTGCCATGGGTTACTGCTTGCGTATTTCCAAAAGCATTTATTTTGCAATCAATATAAGGTCTGAATAAATTTTTTAAAATTACATTACATTTAAATTACATGACATTTGTTTAAAGTACTATATTAAACTTTATGCCTTTACCTCCTAGAAAATCCTTAAGCAGAACGTATACATTCTTACAATGTGTGTTTTATTTATATTGTATATAACCCAATGTAGAACCAAAAGAGGAAGGAAATTTATGAAGACTACACCACAGCAGAGGTAGGGGAGGGAGAATGAAAGGAAGAAAAGCTATTATGTTCTGCTTGGGGCGTTTTTGACCAAGCAAACACACAGCACTGAAATCCACGGTGGGATTGTGTTTTGGTGGTTTGTTTTGGGTTGGTTTAGTTTTTTTGTTTCCCAGCATAAGAAATTCAACAGAATGCCTACATTTTAAAAAGTTATGGGAGGGGAAACTTGTTAGTGTGATTGAAACAGTGAACACATTTGCAAAAACGACGTGTGAGCTCTGCATCCTGTTTGGTAACAAGGAAGCGGTAAAGTTCTGTAAGCAGCTTGTTCGTTAACACGTCTGATACAGCTGTAGAAATACAAAATAGAAGCCCATAATTTTTCTTTAGCGTTCAGCAGCTTGCTTTTCTGTAGAAATACTTCGGGACTGCACCTTTGCAGTTTATAGAGGATGGTGAAAGGATGGATACTCCTCATTCTGAATTGACTGCTTGGATTTTGTTCCCAGTTTAGGATAAAGAAGATGGAGATTTATTCTACCGTTTTTCCTCTCTCTTTTATTAGTACCTCCTAAGCCTGTCCATCTCAAACCTGGGCAGGAAAGAATTCCTCCTGCACCTTCTCGGCCTTTGCCAGCTGATCCCAAGTTGTCGAGGAGCTTAGCACCTGGAGAGGAAGAAATACCAATATCATCAGGAGTCAACACACTCATTGAGAAATTTGAAAGTATTAGGTATGTATGGCTTTGTGAGATCTGCTTTAATCTCCCTTTTCTGCATTTTTAACTTAGAATATAACAATAGAAAACATCAATTGTAATTATCATGTAGAAACACCTCTTGGGAGGAGCAAAATTTAACTGAGTAAACCATGATTTTTTAAAAAAAAATTATTATTTTTTTCATAGAAGCATGTATTTCAGCAACTTTTAGTTGTAACATACAGTTGTTCTTAAGGGGCTTAAGACCTGCTGAATTTGGTAAGTGTTCTACCAGAAACAAGTGGCTCAGTCTGCTTTCAGTGAGTTGACTTGATGTCAGGGTTGGTTTTTGGATTATAAGAACTTGGTTATTGTGGTATAAAATAATGGAGTTTTCAGTCTAAGACTCAAGTTCTTGGAGTCAGGGGAGAGTTAAATTGCAGTGTACTGTAAAAAACGTCATGTAGAACAGCGTTTCCTCTGAAACTTTATATATGAGACATTAAATAGGTTAAAATGTATGTATTTTGCTGTAAAACCAGCTTATTTTACAAACACATGAAAACTCTCTCTGAAGACCAGATCTGCCTGATGGAGCTAAGTGATTTTTTTCTTAAAGAGGGAGATGGAGACAGAGACACCGTACTGTGCCTTGGAGTGTATTATCACCTGGCTGAATCTGGTAAGGTGTCTTTTGAAAAGAAATGTGCTTCAAAAACCATCCTCTCTCTGGCAGAAAATACCTTGCCCCAAAGGCTTTGTTCTGCTGAAGAACTTGAATTCCTATTTAAATGAACCCACAACCAAGTGCTTCTTTTAAAAGACGGTTCCTTCCTCCCCAAACCTTCAAACCAAACTTCTTCAGGGCAGCATGGAGAGTATTAAAGGCCTGGGATTCTAGTGATGCCATTTCAGTAAAGCTTAAGGCTAGAGGTGTTGTGTTTTTATCAGAAATTGTTTGGGGATAGCGATGTGCACACACTTGCCTCCTAGGATTATCATGGCGGGTGCAAGAAATACAACTTGAATCAAATGATAATCAGGCCCTCTCTCTTTTGGGGCACTCTTGAAACCTTTGAATGTTAATGTGGATGACTGTGGTTCTTTCTCTTCACCCGCAGGCAACCTGTACATATTCTTCAAAGAAACCAGCTAAATTTAGCTCTGAAGATGGAACCTGGCCTGGACTCATCCAAACAACCGAGCTCATGTGACTGTGACGTGGTGGCTTCCAGCAGCTCTTCCACAAATGAAAAAAGTGAACTGGATGAAAACAAGCCAGATGTACCATGCAGCACAGATCTATCTAACATAGACATATTGAAAATTAAAGAGCTAAGCATAGGCGATAACAAAAGCCATGAAGACTGTACTGCTGTGACTATGAGCAAAGAGCCCTCTGGAGAGCTTGGCAATAAAGACTCAACTGCAGAACTGAATGGTAATGGTAAAATACCCAACAGAGACAGTGGCATTGACAGTCCTTCATGTAGCGTGGCAGGTGAAACCTTCCCCAGCGAAGAAGGTGCAGAGCAGAAGAAGCCCAGCGTGGCTGGGAACCCAGGGGAGATGGAACCTGACAAAAAGGGCATCAAGCCTTCCTCTGCAGAGCAGAAGAGAGACTCCACACAGGATGAAGACAGTGACATTGATGAAGGAAGCAGCGAGGAGCAAGAGACAGCAGAAGTGCCAAAGTTAGAGTATTTGGATGTAAACAAGGTAAGGTAGTTTGTTCGTGGCTATTAAGTGCTCTGAAACCTGTTCCTGTCTCTGGCCAGAGATCCCTTGCATCACTTTCATATATTTTGGGGTTTTTGTTTGTTTGGTTTTACGTCAAAGGTAATTTCCTGCTTGATGCAGATCATAACTTGTTCCTGACCTAGATATTATCTTTTTGAAAGGTTCCCAGTCTTGATTTAAAAGGTTTCATATAAAAGAATCCATCACAGCCAGAGGTAAGCTGTTAAAATTTAAGTGCTTTTGTAGATAAGGACTCACACCTTGTGTTTCTTGTTTGGTAAGATAGCTTCTAGTTGTTAGATCATGTTGTTTTCAGTGAGGCTCCATGATATGTGGGGGGCTAATTGGATAATGCATCTTGCAGGGTCAGGGCCTTGCATCATAGTAGGACATGCATGATGGAAATCTCTTCTAACAGTAATTTTTTTTCTTGTTTGTTTTGGTTTTTTACACAAAGCCTGTGCTTCTATCAGTGTGACTACTTCTTGAGTACAAAGAAGTTGGTGTGAGGATAGTTATATCAAATTACTCTTCAGGAAACTGTAGCTAGAAGAGATTTTCTTTGAATCCAGTGTAATGTAGTGCAGACTGTGTATTTGCTGCAGCTGTATAAGATTAATGACAGATTCCTTTGATTATCTGTTTATCAAGATGGTTATTTTTAGAAATAGTGATGATAGAATGGGTTAGATTTTTCCAGAAAAAGAAAACAGAAGGTGCTTTGAGCAAAATGTCTGCAAAATATTCCACGTTTTGTTTGGTGGGGTTTTTTGTTTGTGTTTGGGGGTGTTGTGGGTTTTTTTTCTTTTTTCCCCCTCAGCCATCATGACGGTAAAGTTAATATACTGGATTTTTGGGGGTTTTTTAGTGAGCACAAGTAGCTGAAGAACTGTGGCTAGTGAACTGTAGTGTTCACACCTCAGTTTGTGCAAATTTGGTCATTTTGTTGAAATCACCAGCATATACTGATTTGTGTACGTCAAGAGCTTGTTGCTTGGGAAATGTGGCAATTAAAACTCAGTCAGTAGTTTCTGGGTCAAATTGGCCAGTGACTATTGAAGAGTGATGAAAATTGCATATGGGTCTGCGGTGTACAAGAGTTATGGTCAACGGCTCAGTGTCCAAGAGGAGACCAATAATGAGTGGCATTAACAACTGGTGCTGTTTAACATCTTTGTTAGTGACATGGACAATGGGATTGAGTGCACCCTCAGCAAGTTTGCCCACGACACCAAGCTGTGTGGTGCGGTCGACACACTGGAGGGAAGGGGGACCATCCAGAGGGACCTTGACAGGCTGGAGCGGTGCAAACCTCATGAAGTTCAACAAGGCCAAGTGCAAGGTCCTGCACCTGGGTCAGGACAATCCCAAGCACAAGCTGGTCAATGAGTGGATCGAGAGCAGCCTGGCGGAGAAGAACTTGGGTGCTGGTGGATGAAAAACTGAATATGAGCCAGCAATATGCGCTCGCAGCCCAGAAAGCTAATTGCGTCCTGGACTGCATCGAGCAGTGTGGCCAGCAGGTAGAGGGAGGTGATTCTGACCCTCTACTCCACTCTGGTGAGACCCCCACCTGCAGTGCTGCATCAAGCTCTGAGGCCCCCTGCACAAGAAAGACATGGACCTGCTCGAGCAGGTCCGGAGGAGGCCACGAAGATGCTCAGAGATCTGGAGTGCCTCCCCTGTGAAGACAGGCTGAGAGAATTGAGGTTGTTCAGCCTGGAGAAGAGAAGGCTCTGGGGAGACCTTCTAGTGGCCTTCCAGTACTTCAGGGGGGCCTATGGAAAAGATGGAGAGGGACTCTTTATCAGGGTGCGTAGCGATAGAATGAGGGGTAACGGTTTCAAACAGAAGGAGGGTAGATTTAGGTTAGATGTGAGGAAGAAGTTCTTCACTGTGCGGGTGGTGAGACACTGGCACAGGTTGCCCAGAGAAGCTGTGGCTGCCCCCTCCCTGTCGGTGTTCAAGATGAGGTTGGATGGGGCTTGAAGCAGCCTGATCTAGTGGGAGGTGTCCTTGCCCATGGTGTGGGATGTTGGAACTAGATGATCTTTAAGGTCCCTTCCAGCCCAAACCATTCTATGAGTCTATGATTCTGTCTCTCAGAGCTGACAAGTACAGTTTCAGAGTACAGTTAATGCTCTGTGGCGTCCCCTTTTTTCCCAAGAATTGAAGACAGCCTGATGAGGCAAACATACCTACAGGAAGACATGAAAAAGCCCCATACTTTCTCTCATGAATGCGTTGCTTTATGCTGCTCTTCTTCCTGCTGCTTTATGTCAAGCTGGTGTGACTGGACTCACCTTCCATTCACGTCATTCACACGCTGTCTTTTTAGCCTGGGCCTCTCTGATACTTCATTACTGTGCTGCTCCTTCTGCAAATTCGGTGAATGTCCAGCCTGCCAGATGCTGGCACGAGATTAGTCAGAGGGAAGTGGAAAGGACCCAACAGAGTAGGAAGCACTAAGGGCTGCATGAACCAAGTCTGTTTGGCCAAACCCAACTGCTTTCTGTAGGTGGAGAGGATGTGATCTTGTTCGCCTCTGCAAGTCTGCAGTCCCACCTGGCAGCTGGTGTGGATTCAGGAGGAGGAAGCCATCGGCCTGATCCACCTCCATGAGAGCCAGGGAGGACACCCTTGCTTTGTCAATGCATAGGTCAGATGTGGCTGCCTTGGGCATGGAAGGTGGAGATTCCCTTAATTACTTGTGCAGGAGTAAATCCATGGCAATGTGAGTCAGGGTATTCAGTGAGACTGCACTGCCAAAGGAGATCGCTGTCTTTTATCTTGTATGCAAGAATTTAATGTGAGGATCTGCAGGAAACATCTTAGCGATGGAGACTCCAATTAACATCTATCTGTTAGCATCTATTAACACAACATCTAATGCATCCTTTGACATCTGGTATCTCTTCAGTAGTCTGCGGTGAAAGCTCGTTTACATCTCAGATGGGCAGCATCACCATCACAGTGCAAAGCGTCTTGCCTGCTGCTGCTGGTTTTCCCTCATGTTTATACATACATACACACGCTATGAAATTCTTTAATTGTTTTATATTCATAATATAGAAGTATGTGCATGTATGCAGCTGAAATGTTTTTTTAAAAGATTGTTTATTAGTTGCAACATGCCAGCAAGAAAATAACGCTTTCAATTAAAAAATCTTTAATCTGGCAATTAAATTTACTGTTTGGACTAGGAATGCAGTATTGAACCAACTGTAGCAAACCCAAGCAGAAGACTTTACCATATGATTAAGATGTGCTTTGCTGACAAATACCGATGTTTTGTAAGACATCAGAGTTTTGATGGCTGTTTTTAAGTCTCGTTCCTTAGGTTAAGTATCCATGTAGTATGAAATACTACTGATAAAACACCGAGTTATGAGGTCATAAGTCTCTGTAGCATGCTTGGTGAATTTGTACAGGAGAGAGAGATCTCTAGAGGAAGATTTCTTTTTGTTTTCTTGTGTTAGTCTTCTTTTTGAAGTGTATTTATGTGATGCACTTCAGGTTCTCCCTTGCATTTTGAGTTGATTTCACCTTCCAAAAGGCAGTTTTGATGCTGACCAAGCTACACTAAGTTAGCTTGGTCTTGCAGCCACGTGGAGGAGGGAAGGCTTAAGAGATTTGCTGCCTCTTTTGTAGCATAAGGATTGTGCCCTCTTCTGGGGATGCGGTGTGCGAAGCCAATTTGTGTGTTAGGTCACCACATCATCCTACCACTCTCCCTTTCGATTCTGTGGCAGATTTGGGGCACTATGGGCTAAGCATTAGGGTAAAGAGCCACAGGTCCCAGCGAGGAGAGCCAGTGCGATTTGAAGTTGACTTACTCAGCGGTTATTCTTAGGCTGGAAGATCACATCACCCGTGACAAGACTGGTGATTTTCCAGCAAACAAGGTACCTGCCCTGCTGGAAGGAAGAGAGGAGAGTTCAGCTGGCACCAGCTGCTGCCTTGAGAGCTAAGGAGACCCCAGCTCCTCCAGAAAGCTTCGTGTCAGGAGCCAGCATATTTTTCCTACTTCCCCCTGCCTACCCCTAGTACCAAGTTTTGCAGCTGCATGACGGAGGTAACCAGCACTCTCATTAAATATGCAAGTTGCCAGAAAGCTTTGTTATAGTTGGAGGAGGATGCATAAGAAGTACAGCTGCAGAATGATTTAATGATTGCTCAGTAACTCATAATATCAATTTAAATGAAGATCATGAATAAACATAAGTAGGAAAAAAAAATCAGATTTGCTTTTTTCTTCTCTAATTTTCTGCTTCAGATATCTCTCCGTCCACTATCCAAGCTTTCACACACCCCATGGCTGGTGAAGTAACTTTGCCTGATACATGACTCATATGATTTTATTTAGTCTAGGTTTAGCCCTGCAGTGCGGTGTGGCTTCCTTTGGGAGTCTGCAGCACAGTCTAACAGGTCTCACTATTAGTACAAAATTACTGGAGTGCGTCTTATAATCTCAGGAGTGACTTACTGGGATTTCCAGTTATCTTTTATTTAAATGAAAATGATCAAGGAGAGCTTATTAGTTTTGGTAATGTGTCAGAAAATGTCAGGAGCTCCAGGAACTGAGACATGTTAGCCTTGATGGTTACAAAAAAAAGAAATGACATAAAAGTGAGACTGAAGGGCTGTCGTACTCTGTAGTCATATATACTCAAGGCTTCTGCCGACAGCCTGGGAGCAACAGAGTAATGCTTCTGAGGTGGCTAACACTTCTTCCTATCTTTTTATTTAGATATTTTTTAGTAAGGGTTATATGTGCTCTTTAGTAATCACCAAAAAATGCCTTTCTCCATCTGTCCTGCATCCTGCTGTATAAAATAGTAATAATGAAGTCCCACGTGGGCCTCATACAGTCACTGACACATGCTTCCATTCTGCCTGTACATGGCTGGATTTCACTTCTGATTTCATTGTACAGTTTGTGTTAGAAAATTTGGCCGGCAGTCCTGCAAGTCATACCTTTGGGTAAGATCATCTCTGTGTATATTCTGAAATAAATTTGCATAGGTCAATGTTTTAGTCATAATGCTAGTTAAGAAAAATCAAATATGTTCTCATCATCTTTTTTTTTTTTTTTTTTAAATATCCTAAGGAAAGTGAGATCTCAATACAACAAAGGCAACAACCGAGAGTATTTTCCATATTGTTTTCAGCAGTTTTGAGTAGGAAGTTGTCTGTAATCTTTCCGGGACTTCCTGTGTTCTTTGTAGGGGTGACTGGTGGGGTTTTAAAGCATAATCGTGTATGATTTTAACCTAAGCTGTATCCCAGCAGCTTTCTTGCAGGATTCACTGCAAGCCCCTTGTGACAGAGATGCTGACTGGATACGGTTGTGCACTACCAGTTGTATGAAAAGTAGTTGCTGCAGGGTATTGTCCAAATTTTCTCGTATCAAGCCTTTGTTTTTTACTTTTAACTTTCATTTCAAATTTGCTTTTCATGATAGCCAGGTCAGTCTTTGCATCCGTGACTCCGAGGCCCAGACATACATGGCGGGCATCCAGCCAGGTCGGGAAGCAGGTTCGCAGGAAGCAGCGATGCACTTGTGGCCGCTTAATTGCACAAATCAGCTCAGCGTGTGCCATTCCTCAATTTGTGTCTGGGCTTGGAGTATTTGAGGTGCAAATGCATTCCCACCACAGGTGTGAACGTGACCTTCATGAGAAGCTAGTTCTGTTTGTTTTCAGGCTGGCGTTTCCTTTTTCTTTAAAACGTTTTATGGACAGTTACAGTTGGAAATGAATTTTTGAACCTTCCACAAAGAAGTGAAAGAGCATTGTGCAACTGCTGCTTCAAGCACTGGAGTGAGCTTCCTGTGTCGTGAAGTCAACACTCACCGCTTCCCTTTTCTCTTCTGTCTTGTCACCCTGCCAGCTCTACGGTTTTAAGAAGATTCTGCAGCAGATGTACAGTTGTAATGTAGGACTGTGGAGGTTAGTCGTAACATGCCATGGCCATTCCCAGCAGTCAGCCAGCTGGCACGTTGGGAAAAGCAGAAGTGAAATAGATTTACAGGAGTCAAACAGCCTAAGATCTGTGTAGGGTGGAAGACTATATCAGGAATATAATCTACATTTGAGTTTGCAAATTTTTTTTACTTTTTACTTTAGAAACATAGTGAAATATATTCATAGTGAACTGAATTACGGCTTGGATTTTGTTAAAGCTGTCCTGCCATGGCACAAAATAAGGTTACAGGAGTGGGACTGCCTCACGTTTAATTAATCTGCTGTTTCATTTAAAATATTATGTCCATTGAGACACAAATATGTTGCATATTAGTCTGAAAAACATGCCTATCTGCCTCTAGCAGATCACTGAAGATAGAGTGTCTCTTTAAAACCGAGTTCAAGCTGAGAGTCTGTTCAGTCGCTGTTTGGTATTTAAGCAGATGTCAGCAAGTTTTTTGGAAATATAAACTGAATTGCAGATGGTGAAGGTCAGGAGGTTAAAAAGTGCCTGTGCTATGTAAAGATTTACTTCTGTGAGCAGATGTATTTGGTGGGAAATAATTATTTTTCAAATTCTGAATTCAAACAAATCAAAGGATGCTGTTAGTGGCTGTCTGGCTGGCTGGCCTGTTACATCAGTGCCTTTTGATTCAGGTACTCTTCTGTGCCCAGCAAAGTTCTTTCTCAGTGAGAGATCCTCATAGTTACTGGAATTTAGATGGCCAGCAATGCATTTCATTGTGAGCTGTAATATGTTGTATTTGCATGTAACAAATAAGTTCAAACCTTTGGTGTGCTGTGATTTTTTTTCTTTTCCCCTAAGTATTAATATAGATCACGTGAATGAATGGAGCAGGGTGTTGTGTAACATGTTAGAATAGCGTAAAAGAGTATTTGAGTTTGCTTGAAATAATTTGAGTAGCGGGGTAGGCAGAGTATGTGTCAAAGCTTTATTCCTGATGTGCTTGCCAATCTCCAAGTTTGTGCCTAGAAAGAAACTGATTGCTTTAAGGGAAGACTGATGCTGTTTCAAATCCAGAAAAGCTATTCACCTTCATTCAATTAATACTTGTATCATGGAACTGTGGGTACTTATTGCTAAGTGGTAGCTCGTTTCATGTAAGATAACTGTGGGTCTGGTTTGTTTGAATTCATGGCTAGCTTTGAAAAGTCTTTGAGGTCTTTCAGTTGTATTGCAGTTTGCCTAAATGTGAGGGGGGGGGGTGTATTTGAATTTTTCTTGTCAACTTTGTTTGGAAATAAAATAAGATGATGTTGAAGAAGCTTAAAGAGAGCATTTAATTGATGTTTTCCAGCAATCTGATGGTGGCCTGCAGGGTTATGTCTGGAAATGTCTGCCACAAATGTTAGCGAGCACACAGAGATAGGCATAGGGGATAGAAAGCACTGGTACTGGTGAGGGGCCCGGGTGCTTTCCAAACTGGGAACAGCCCAGCATGTTTAGTGGACTTCAGCTGGATTGGACTTTTACTCCGGTCATTTTGTGAACCTGTGTGAAGGTTTACTGTCTGTTGCCTGAGGAAGAGACTCTTTGTCTTGGAGCAGCACCTTGGGAGTTTTATTTGATGCCCTTTAGTTTTCCTGTGGAAGAAATAATGAATAATTGCACCCAGTTGATGCTGTCTGTTTCATTGATCATTTATATGTGTCTCTTACTTTAATTGCAGTTGTCTTTTTTTTTTTTTTTCTGGATCCAGCCCAGTAAAATTTTCCTACATTTCAACATCCTTGCTGCCCCATTTGGAAGTTTGTGTTCCCAAACACAAAACAGCCAACCCTCCGTTCTGGACTGGTTTGGTTATATGTAAGCATGGCGTTTAGAATCTAGACCCTTAGAAAGGTATCTAGAGTTTGTCAGAAAGCTAGAGCCTGTATCCTAATAATACAAGTATTAAGCACTTAGAGAGTGAAGAGCCTATGTAGCTTTTGGCTAAACTGTGACTAAAGTCAGTGCTTCATAATGGCATTCAGATTTTTACTTAGTCCTTTTTCATTTTATTTTTTTCTAAATGAGCTTAATGAAAGACTTCAGTGAGTGACTTGGGTTACATTGCTGAAAATTCTTTCCAGGGAATTGGCCAGTGTTTAAAGCTGCAAAGAAATCTTAGAAATATGCCATAGAGAGTACTGCTGTGCTGGCCAGGGAGAGAAATCTGTGGCCAAACAGGTCTGGTTTCTAGTTTTGATTTTTGTCACAGGACCTGAATCCAAAAAAGGAGAACAGTTGATTTACACAGAACAGTTTGATTTAGTGCCTTAGTTACCAAATAGACTAGACTTATTTCCAGACTTGGAGGATGTTTCTGGTTCTTTATAGAAAACCGTAATGAACTAAAGTGATGTCCTGACCAGCCATTGACCGCATTCCTAATTGCTCTTTCAGAAAATAGCTTTAAAAATGTCTCTGGAGCAAACTGATCCTTTGATGAGGGATGTGGAGGAGATTCTGAAATATATTAACCTCCATCACTTCAGGCTTCTATACTGGCAAGCCCACAGAGCAAATGGAAAAGAGAACAGCTGATGAAACTTAGGTTTGTAGGTGCAGGTGGATTATGTTATTTGTAACTTTTCTTTCAGTGTACAGAGCCCCAAAAGCTATTCAACATTGCAAATGAACTGCTCCATACAGAAGAAGCATACGTTAAAAGACTCCATCTGTTGGACCAGGTAATTCAATTTTGAATAAACACTGCTTTCTTTTCTAGTGAGCAGCAATGATGCCTCCTGTTCATCCCCTAACCTATAGCCCGACAGTGTGACAATGCTGTGTATAGGTGGGAGATGGAGTTTACTTGCTGGGCTGTGCGCCATGGGTCCCAGAGGTGAGCTTTTGGCAAGAGGGTTCCCCTGAACTGGAACCCGAGGATTAGGATGTTGGAAAGAGGAATGGGAAAGCAGGCTAAGATACAGACACCATCAGCATTTAGATCCTCCCTGAGCGTACACAGAGAGGAAATCATGGGAACACTGAAGGCACTGAGAAATGATGAAATCCATGATTGCTCTGTAATGTGCAAGAGGTTTGAATTTTACTAAAATGAGGCCACATGCATCAGCCCTGTGCTCACAGTGAATGACGTTTTTTTTTTTTACCCACTGTGTTTTGCAATTGTTGTCCATTTACGCATGGGGATAAAGTAAAACTGGTGTGATGAGTTGGTGAGTCTGAACTTTCTTCCACATAAACATTGACGTGAGTGTACACGGTTCAGGCATTTCTATAATTATCTCAAAGGAAAAAAAAACATGACTGTGCTTTTTAAAAAACGAACAAAAAAAAAAAGAAATTATCACCTTGCTAACGATCTTGATAGAAGCTGTAACTTTCAGAGCACTCCACCCTCCGGCTCTAGGACCTCTGTGAAAAACTTTCCAGTGTTTGCTTTGGATGACCAGAGACTGTTTCATGACCTTAGAAGTCTAGGGAGCGTCTTTCCCTTTAGTTCAGTACGGTGTAATTTTTCCCACAGAGAAACAAAATAATCGCGTGGTTTATTTTGCTTCATGTAAATAGGAGTAAGTGCTCTTCAGGGAGCTTCAGGGAGTTGTTCTTTGCAGTTTGCACTCCCAGATAGGAGATGTCTGCTATTCTCAGTAGTTTCAATCTTTTTCAACTTACTCCTCAGATTTTTCTAATTTATTACTATGGCCCATAGTCATAAATCTAACCCTAATTGACGGTGGATTTATGTGTTGTGAACCTCCTGAAAGACCCCAAGGACAGACTACCAGAAGTCAAAAATTGTAGCTCTCTTCTAAGGCAGGCAGCTTTGTAATGTTGCAATCTAAAGCCAGCGTGCCTAGGATTGGTTTTTGTAAATACATGTTGGTACTGTCTTATTGTCTTATGCAGGTTTTTTGCACTAAGTTGTCAGAAGCAGGTATTTCATCTGAAGTGATAACAGGCATCTTTTCAAATATTTCTTCCATCTATTGTTTCCATGGACAATTTCTTCTTCCTGAGCTCAAAACAAGAATTACACAAGAATGGTGGGTAATTGTCATTACAATTATTTTAAAAATACATTTTCAAGAAACTATAGCAACCATAAGACCTAGTCTAATTCCAAAATTTTAATTGTTTAATGTAGTAGTTCACTTGCTATTTAATACGTTAGTATGGAGTCTCTTAAGCATTTCTGACTACAGGAATAGACCTGAGCACTCAAAATTTCTGGAGTACGTTGTAAGAATTTTTTTTCCAAAGTATTGCCAGAGCTATTTTCCTTACTATATTTCCATTCTCCTATTATTGCCCTACTATGAAATTGCAGTACTAGGAAGAAGGAAATTGCTTATTTTGGCTCCACAGATGAAGTGTTTTGGCCCCACTGTGGAGTATTAAACAAAAAACTCAGTTACTTCTCAAAGAAGGAAAATGCATCATCATGTCGCTGTCTAGACTTTGCATGCCATGTTGGAGAAAAATCCATATTTTATTTTCTTTAATTAATTTTGTTATGGTTATATAAAATTTAATTTAATGTTAAAATTAGCATTATAGCAGCCAACCAACAGAAAATCTGGACAGATAAGATAGATGACTTCGTATCTGTAAATCTGCTTGTGTCTGTTATGCAACCACTTCTGTTATTGAGCACCACAGCATTGCACAAGTTTTTACCCCAGAATTTGTTGGCCTTCTGTTTGAGGAGATAATAAATATTACTGGTTACAGTGTATATGTACTTTCTTTAAGAAAATAGGTGTAGTTTGGGGGGGTTGGTTTTTTTTCAATGAGTAATAAAGGTCAAATTCCAGTCAAAATTTGGCCACTGTAATAAGTTGTAAATAAGGCAGAAATGCAGTGATGGGTAGAAAGATTAACTGTGAGGCAGATCTAGGAAACTTGATTTGAGATGACACATTGGCTGCCAAGAGTGTCCTGCAGTGCAAGGGGCAGGTGGAGCTGAACACTGCACCTTTCCCAGTACCCTAAATGATGAAGACGAGACCAGAGTTTACATCTCTTGTGGTTGAGTCCAGTCTTCACATAGTTCATCAGTGACCAGAAGGAATAAAGGAGTTTCAGCACCTTTGCACCTGACTTACATTTCCAGGGACAGCTGTAATGAAAGGGGAGGAAAACTGGAAAGGCTGAAAGTCAGAAGAGGGCAGAAGCTTGTGAAATGAGTGAAGAGGGTCTTGTGTAATCAGACTGCAAGTCATAAGTTCAG